GTTAACCGTGAAGTGTGTATAAACGGTACTAGTATAACACCAAACTCTGAATAGGTATTAATCGTAGCTACAAGTGAAATAATGATTTGCTTACGAGTTAACACGTTAACATTTCTTTAGCACATTTATCATAACCTTTTTTCGAATTACTTTATTATTTGATTTTTTTCTATGATTGAGATATTTTAGCTCTCTGTTAAGCTAGATATCTCGATAATATTTACGCCATCAGTAACTCGTATTTTGTAAATGTTAAACTTCGTAATCATGCACTTATGTTACTAAAATCCGTTTCATGTAGGTACTTTAGGAAATGCATTATTTTGCTAATTTACAAAGTGTTTTTTTTTTATGTCTAGTAGTTTACGTAAAACTTGTTAAATTTGAGTACTTCAAAGAAGCAATAAACTAGATGCTCTACAAGTAGTTAGTCACTTGTTTTTTACACGACATATTACTCCGCGTTCCGGTTGTAAGCTAGCGCGATGACCCTAAAGACTCAAATGAGAAGCGATAGCGACAAATTATGCTAATACAACATATTAGAAAGATTATTTAAATCTGTGCCCATTATTAATTCTTACAATCGGAGAAATAATCATTTTTTTTAAGTTTGAGAATCGGTGGCTAAATGGAATTTTCCGTTGGGTAATAATTTATTGCTAATGTTAGAGACGTTAAGATTTAAATCTGAAAATGTTTTGGGTTTTATATAAAACTATAGTATCTAGCTTAGACGTTTTTATCTATATTCAATAGTTTAATATATTATCCTATGTTTTGGTATATATTTAAATAATCAATTCTTTAAGATGATATGTATTTATAAAAAAAAAATTGTAATATAATTATTATTATCAATAAAAATATAAGTATTGGGCGATAAGACCATATGTTTTTTGCTTTATTAGCTTATTTTAGAATGTTAAGCTAGATATTTGTAATCGCTTTCGCTTGTATTTTATTGTGAGTAATAGGACAATCGACAAAAATTACGTGTTTTCCGACGGGCCTCTGTAGTTTTAAAATAAGACATAATTTATCTTACACAGGAAACGATTTCGACTTTAGAATAATATTTTAGAATATTCGTTGAACCCATCTTATGAGACGAATCAAATTTTTTGTTTTCTAAAAATGTTACGATAAAAAAGTTCGTGGATATTAATGTTTTGCACTTTTATTAACAAATGGCTAGATTGGTTTTAGAAAATTACGAACAAAATAAGGTAACGTCTTGCTATAACACGTCAACGTGCAAATCATAATAATAAAATGTAGGTATATTTTTTATGATACCTTCCATCAAGAGATCCCCATGTTTCTTCATGACCGATGAAATACCCTAGTATAGTTCTTTTGGTTTTGGACAAAACTTAAAATTACGCTTAACGTTTTTTAATCTGTGGACAGTGGGTTGTGACCGCACGAGTGTCAATATTCCTACCATCTATTTAATGACCAGATGACGACTCTAGAATGTTTAAAATTATTAAAAATTACCATAAAAAGGTGGTCTTTTATAAAATACCAACGCCCATGTAAGCAATACAAGCACAGCAAACGTCGCCATAGTTTAAAATCAATTAATAAGTGGAGATATTGAATTATTTTCACTCTTTACTTTATTAATCGAATACAGATCTAGAGTAACGCGATGAGAATTTCTCTAGCGTAACGTGCGCAAAACATTTAAGGATAGAGTGAAATTTGATTAGCAAGCTGTCACACTAACCACGCGAGTGAATTTTTTCGTATCACTAATTGATTGTTGAAATGGAATTAATACACTCGTTAGACGTCTGAATGCAATTAAATGCATACTTCTGTTGTGAATACCGTTTCGCGCGGTCGCGCCGAGTCGCAGTTTCGAGGCGCAACTGATCTAATGACGTACCTAACCGCGGCGTGCACGCTTTTTGTCAAGGGAGAATGGAAACGCACTGCGATTTATTCCCGGACGCTTGGGTGAAATAATATTTGAAAATATAGACGCTGTTTGTCTCTAAATCTATTTTAATTGTGTCTAAAGTTACATTTGATGATGCAATAGCTCAATTGGATACAGCAGCAGCACGTATTGTTGTAGATGCCGGTTCAAGACTCACTCGTGTCGCCTTTTTTAACTTAACTAAATTTTTTATAGTTAAGTGTTTCCCCGTTTTGATACGAAGGATCCGCAGTAAAATAATTTGTAAATAAGTTTAACTAATTTAAAGTGTTCTGATGTTTGTGTGCACTAACATGTGAAAAGTAAAAAAGTTTTCAAATGTATTTAATCCTGTTACCGAATAAAACGCGCTCTATATATTAAGTTTTACATTTAGTAAACTCTTATTATAGTAACTTTAAACTAATTAGATAAGCGTGGATATAACTCTTATATATCTTATTTTACATATTTAAAATCCTATTAGAAGGAATCACGACATCTTAAGTATTAATAATAAACTACAGTAGGATCTTTCCTCGTTATTATTTCTTGAAAGAAGAGCTTTAAGCTCACACTTCTTATAATAAAGTACTAAATGTAATGTTATAAATAAACTTGATGTTGTTTTGTTTCTAATGATAATTAGTCTCAAAAATCTGTTGCATTTTTAAATTTAAAAATTATGAAGATCTAATTCCGCTTAAAATATGTTCTGAATTTCTTAGATACATCAGTAGAAGAAAGTCTTCCATTCAAGTCAGTAGTCAGACTTTCCCACAGTTTCTAGTACAATAATAATTGTGTTAGATTTACGGTTGGGTATATTTGTAGCGTATGCAGCGTCAAGACATCGAGACAGGATCTGTTCTGGTATGTTTATTGGTTTGCGTTTCCGCCGTCTCTGATTGCGAATAGGAAGTCTGTTACCTCCCTAATACTAATTACAGAATATACTCTCGTTTGCGTATATATAAATAACGATGGCCAAATTATTAAGACAAAAAGAAGGTAGCAATGTCATGGTGATAAAATAAAATATAATTTTGTATTATCATCATCATCTTCTAATAGCAACTGTCAAAGATCCACTTCCATGAAAACATTCTAGTCTTTTCTATGGTAGAGGACAGACAAGCAGACAAATGGGGTTCCCTTGATGGAAGTTGAAAGATATTTTAGTTAAATAATATTCTGAAATCCACGGACTGAAAACGAAACGCGATTAAACTTGATGCATTTGGTCTAAATGTACTTGCCAAGATGATGGATTGTTTAATATTGTATTATAAACATTCTGTAACTTTTAACTCTAGTGCTAAAAATATAATTTTATTCAAATGCTTTTGTTCAATAAAGTGTACTCTAAAATAATTATTTTATACTACGACTGGTGATCGAACTCCCGACGTCACAAACACCAATCTTCTAGACACTAGACAAAGTGAAAATGAATTGGATAATTGAGTCTACATCGATTAATTATGGCAAATATTGCCCACCCAGCAGAATCGGAGGCAATCGTTAAAGATAAATGACTACATTAGCTTCGGAATATCGAACACACTGCCCATACACCGTTACTCCGTCGCGACTTCATTTTTCAATGAACGTGACGAGATTTTAATATGCAAATACCTTTAATAATATGCAATTCGTATGAATTCCAGATATATTTTTCGGAATCGGTTGACATCGCGTTTCTGGTTATTGGACTAATGAATGCGGCTGGTGTGTTGTAAAATTGTTAACACGATAGGAATTTGGATTATTATTGATTAAACACAGTGAAATTGTCCATTAATGTTTTGTTTTTTACTTAACATAAAAAACTGTGATTTTAACATTTTTAGTTTTTCGGACTCGGAGAATTGAATCTTCGAGCAATCGAGAGCTAACATCTCCTGATGATGCCGTTCGCTTGTGATGGCGAAACGTCGAGAACCTCTATTTGCTCACGTCGGCCGAACAGTCCGAAAAACAATGATATGCTAAACGATGGCCGTGAAAGCCTTACACAATTTACGGTGATTTTAGTTAGTACTGCATGTCTCAAGTATGTGGCACTTAGATTAATATTGAATTGCTCTTTCGTTGTCATATTATCCTCTAAAATTATTTCAAATATAGATCTATTTTTATTTTAAATATGATAAAAAGTAACTTATATATATATAATAGACATTGTACGTTACTTTTTAAATTTTGATTGTGACTGTTTTTAAGAAAATTCGGTATAATATTTATGAACATAGGGAGGTAATGTGAAAAGTTATTTTCCTTCTCGACAATATTCAGTTTAATTTCTTATACATCTAGAAGTCATAAATTAGATTTGTTGACAAATAGATATTAAAATAACATAAACACTACCTTTGAGGCAGGACTTAATGAGAAAAGTTTGATACGACTTCCATTTTGAGTGAAACTTCTGTCATCAACGTTTATTTTCATGGCTTAGGATTAAGGAACCATCTCTATTCACACTAGATACGAATCTTTAGGGCTGTATAAATTTGTAATCACGCTCTGGGAACCTAAAGGATAAGGTTTATAAAACTTAATACAAATTTTTCATTTTACAATTTACCAAACTCAAAACTAAGACAATTCTATACTATAGTATAACACCATGACACCCCATGATTTACGGCGAAAACTATTAGTTATATTTTGACAAATGAGGTAGTGTTACTGTCTGGGTATTTCATGTTAACTTTAAGCGCATAAACTACTCAGTTTGTAGAGAATGGGAAAATTAATTTCCCAGGGTATATTCAATTATTTACGGTATATTTAGCGCGAGTTATGTTTAACAACCACCTTTTACGAAAAGCTTTATTTTCTTCACACAACACACTTATAAAGGAAAACAAAATAAGTATAATAATTAAAAATTTTAAATCACGAGGTAATTGTAAAAATAAGTTAATTCAATTTATTATTTTATATATTTTATCTTTCAATCCATAACCAAATTATAGTTCACTCCGTTTAAAAAACAAATTTACAAGAACTTCGAATAAAACGCGAGCTTAAAAACGCGCCACTACCGTAACTTCGAAAAGCGTCACACAACTTCGTCGCGGCGAAAATTACGCGGGAAATTCTCACTTACCATGTTCGAGAGCAGCAGACGCTGGTGTTTAGCGACAGGGTCTAAGGACTGTATCGGGAAAGCGATGGGCAGCGGGATGGGCAGGGGCAGCGGGAGAGGGTGCTGCAGGAACAGCGGTGGACAGCAGCTGCACGGCGTTGCGTAGGACACGCACCCAAGCGGCTGCGGGAACAGCGTGCCGACGGCCTCCTCGAGGCCTGCCCCGCGTCTCTCACGACCGCATCCGCGGCCGACCACCGAGCTCTCGACGGCAACTCGCCGCCGAACTCGAACCGAAAGCGGCGGGAACTCGAGAAAAGTTCTGAGGAGATTGGTCGTCGGAAGCGAGAACACGCGTGGAGAAGTGCGGCGCGCGCAGAACACAAGTCGCCAGTTCGGCGTGCAGCGATGGACTGAGGGACGGCAGGTGAGCGAGGCGCGCGAGGGGCGATGGGGCGGGCCTACCTGTCTCACCTGCGCGCCTGCGCGGCCACAGCTCAGCCTCCGCGGCTCCACTGTGCCACAGTATCGTGCCGAATTGAGGAAACTCTTCTTATGATAGGCATAGTCCACTTGGTGAAATGTCCCAGTCATATAAACAAGATACGATTTAAACCTTAAACTTCACGGCTGTGGCATGTTGGTTTGTGACCGGAACGGTATTTCGTATATTCCTACCATTTCATATCCAGATTTTACAAACGAAATCCAACATGTTTCATAAAATTAAAATTCGATTAGAAGATACAATTTCGCGACTTTATTACAACCCTGTATTTTTTTTCGCAGAATTATTAAACTATTAATAATTTCCTTAAGCAACGATGAGTTCATCGAGGTTATCGAGCTATTGTATTGTTTGATAGATAAAACTTTACATAGTTTTCACATAAGAAAATCAACTAAATTTGTCCTCTTTAAAATTATACAAACAAATTCAGCCACTGTCATGACGGATTAAAAAGTTTATATCTAAAAACTACAGCCAACTGTTTATATCTCAACTCTGCCCCAGATACCTGCTACGAGTCGACATTTTACCGATGATGCATCACTACTATGAGAACCAACAACACCTAGAACTTTCGTGACAACTTTTTGATATTATTGTTATCGAAATAAATATTACGTCTCTCAACATACAATCTGGACTTTATTTAAGCTATGATAGCTTTAAAAAAAAAGCTTTACTTAAAAATTACTAAAATACGAACTTTGATAAAATTACGAATATCTAAAGCCAAAATAGGACGACGTACGCATCTTGTTAAGATTACATGGCTAAGGCATATCACCTTCAATCAAATGAATCCGTCCTCTAATATAAAAAATCCAGTCTTTCTCTAAACAATAAAAAAAACTAGACGTTTAGTATGTATTAGATATACAATTTTGAAAATCTCTAAGTCACTCGTATTAAGTGTATTAATATTGAAATAAACAATGCCGTTAAAAAAAAAACAAAAGAAATCACAAATATTGCTTGTATTTTCAAGGAGCTTTAAATGCTAAATCCAAAATCCGAGTTTATCTCGTTAGTGGGCTCACTGAGGTCATATCTAAACAAAATACCTATCAAACAAAGAGATTTTTGTTTGAATTCGGCTCCGAGTAATCAAATAAATACGACTCTAATGAGACGAAATGTTTGTTGAGATCAATATATACTGTTCGTTTATGGACCTTCCAATAAATCCTATAATCCCGAGAACAAAACGCTTGGCAATACGGAACAATAAGAAACTCTACATTTAAGATGTGTTTTGCTTAATAAATGTTACTAATACTAAAAAGGTTTTCTTGTTATAGTACAGCTTTTAGATAACCATTTTATTTAAGTAATTAATTATATTTAAGCAAATTAATTGAAATGTGTACAAATAATTGCTGGGTGAGTGATGTTATAAATGTTAAACTTATAAATAAGTAACGAAGAGTTTAACAAATAATAAATAATTCTTAAAGAAAGAATTATCTAGACTTAAATTTTCTTGAAAATGCAAAATTGTGTTGCAAACTGTACTTAAATTAGTACCAATAAATAAAAGTCTTACTGACGGCAACTCCGAGTCAACAAGTGAATAGCATTAAGATTAACAAATCTATAGTATTTGTTGACACGAGGAAAAATAAAATATTTTTAAGGTTTTCTAAGTTAGCTAATATGTATATTTCCCGTATTGTACTGTTAATACATTTTATTTCAAGTATTAATACCGTGAAAATTGCTAGATGATCCGTGCAAAGCCTTTTGATATAAAAACTTCTACATACAGATAGGTTTAATCTAATATATAAAATTCTCCTGTTTGTGCGCAAACTCCTCCAATACGGCGGAACCGATTTTAATACAATTTTGGATATACATGCATTAGGTATGAGCATACGTTTTTTATTTTTTGTCTCTTTTACTCATATCCACACACTCGAAGTAAGTTAGTTACTACTTTCTTCCCAAATATTATTTACAAATAATATATATATGACTATCAACGTTTGCCGGGTTAACTAATATTAAATATATTTTCTATTTTGTTACTATCTTTGTATCACCCAGTTTTTATATGCTTTTATTAAATATAGAGATAAAGTAGTTCACAACAATACAATAGATAGGTAAACATCGTACAGTGACATCCCAAAATCAGCCTCTATGCATTTCCTGTTATAATAAAATCTTTTAATCATTTAATAGTCCATCACACTTCTGTGCCCTAACCGACTGAAACAACGTAATCTTTCCCATGATTCGAACCCTTCGCCCTTGACGCGTAATACTTTTAGATTGTTTACTTCTTTATATTGTTAATATTTAAGTATGTATTTGTGGTGGGGGTAAATTGGGGTATGTGCGTTGCGAGTTACAGATAAGATAGATAGTTTTCAGAGGGTAGTATAGTAGTATCTCGTTTCCATTGTCCGTGGAGGGTAGGATGCTAATTAAGTTATATTACAATATTCTATTATGTAGATAGTTTAAATGTATTCACAGTGTTAAAATTTCCATGTTTTATAATTTGTAAATTTATGTAGGCCTAGCGACATAATCTGACGCAAGGCCCATTAAAAAGGGCTAAGGAAAAACTCTCACAACGGATTATAAATATTTTATAAGACTGTATATGAGTGTTTATGTTTTATGTGTACAAAGATAAGTGACGAAGAAGTAAATACAAGTGCATCATACATACATACATACAAAAATGTATAATAGATAGTCTGATACCACATCAAACTTCTCACCTTCTCACAAGTCACAGAACGTCTGTTTTCGATACTATTAATTAATTCTTGACGCGGCATGTACCTAAGGTAATTACGGAGCGTGTTTAACTAACGCAAGATTAACAGATCTGAACTTGCGAGCTTGTCTCATCAAGACTGTCTGTTTAATAGAAAACTATCTACGTGCTTATAATTTCGATAAATCTATATTAGTATATTATAAAGCTGGAGAGTTATTTTGAACGCGCTAGTCTTCAGAAAGGACTGGTTCAAATTGATATATTTTTCGTCTTAAATAGTCTATTTTTGAAGGAAGGCTTTAGGCTATAAAACACCAAGCTGCGACCAATAGGATATACGAAGAAATATAGGGAAATGTGGAAAAAAATGGGGAAAATTACGATTTGCGAAAACCGTTTAAGATGCCCAAAAATGTGCGTAAAAGAATTATTCTTTTATAAATAATCTAAAAAAAATGCCAGTGACAATATATATTTATCTATAAAGATTAACTCAAGATTTTATGGGAATCAAATTTCGTCTAAATATGGCAAAATAACATTTACAGCTAGTCTATTCATAATATGCTTAATTAAGTACAGTAGAGGTGGGCCATCATAATAACGTATGACAAGAATAACTAAAGGATTGTGGTTTTGTTTCCAATATGTTCGCAATTACCTTTAAACTTCAACTACATACAGATACAACACGTATGTAGTTTATACGCGTAGTCATCGAGTGATGTAATAAACAATACAATACTTTTGATTGTTTAAAACGCGAATTATATAAGTTAAACTTATATCATCGATTGACCTCATGACCACCCATAACCATAGCTGCTGGAAAGCATCCCAAACGCCGCAGTCACGACACCTAAATTCGCCGACGCCCACGCATGGTTTAGCGCCGCCACTGCTTATGTTAAAATTTAAAGAAGAACCAAAGTAAGAAGAGGTAATTCAACTGTTTGTCAATAGACTAAAAAAAACCTTTATCAGGGATTCGAATTCAAAACACACTAAAAGGCTGTGTTGACTAAGAACAAGTTGTAAAGGTGGAACTTGTCTATTTATTTTAATTTTAGTGACTAAACATTCTAAATACATTTTAATTAAAAGTTTTATACCCAACTAACGCACATTAATTAATTAATTAAATTTTAAAATAATGTAGATCTATTTAAAATAAATTAAAAAAGGCAGCAATAATAAGTCACTTTTTATCATAGTCTGCAATGAAATCCGGACAAAGTTCAATTAAAATATACTTGGCAAAACCGGATTAGCTTTTAAAGCTTTCAAAGCAATATACTGCTTTAAACCTAATATCATTAAAGTTCATTTTCCATTAACAGGTTACGCTTCACTTATACAATAATAGACCATTACATCACTATATATGTAACTTGAGTTAAGTGGACAAGCGAATTCCAAATTCAAATAGTCGCGCCCATTTGGGCCCCGGTCACTGACCTAGCGCACGCGCCGCCAAGCCGTCTACGGCCTTACGTAACCTGACCTTAACATTGGGCTGTGGGAAGTAGGGCTTACGAAATAAGCATTGAGGACAGTGTCACGATAAGCTTTCGGTATCTGGGACATTTACTAAGCTTTTTTAAAATAGAGGAGTACAGAAAAGGGGTTCACTCGATGGTAGGTAAAACCCAAGCCATAACATTTAAACAAGATGCGCTATCGGCCTATTAAGGCAATGATATTCTCAAATCCACTGATTAAACTTCACGGCTTTTCATCTGTGTACGGTGGTTCATGACCTGGACGGAATTTCGTTGTTCCTACCATTCAACATCCAGATTTTCAGAAGTAGTCCAAAATGTTCAAGAAAAATTATAAACTGATTTGAAAATATTGGACCTGGTGGGGATCGAACTCATTAGCTATTAGCTACCATTACACCAAGGCGTTCGTCAAAAGCTTGTATTATTACTTATATAAGTAGATTTTTAAATTAACGCCTCTTTAGAACAAGTATATATGTAACATTTACATAATTTTATTAGGACACTTTAACATAAAAGTGCTAATTATATGGTTTTATGTTTGAGATGTTTCTGGTACCCTTAGAAAAAACTCCATGTTGTCTGATAACAAGTTGCTTTCAACATGTATCACAGGTGGAAGCGCTGCGTATGAGACGACTCACTCTTGAAACAGGTATTTTATAAAAAAAAACAATATGTTCGACTTTCTTACTGTAACAAATGAAACAAATGAACAAATAAAATAACTCAACTATCTCAAAATTGCTTCAACATCTATATACGTAATTCTTAAGTGAAAAATTTGTCGGGGCCCACGAAACTTTATTTTATTTAAGTACTGTCACTACTTAACGAGTGAAGT